AATATATAAGTGTATATATACATGCATAAATATAAGTATATGTATATATTTACATATTTCTATATATATATATATTTGAATTTGAACATAAATAGAAATACTATGTATATAAAAATATAAACAGAAAATATAAATAATATAAATATATTTAAATATAAATATATAAGTGTGTATATAAATGCATATATATATGTATATATACATATACATAAATAACAGTACGCAACTGCTACGGTGATGCCTGCATGTAATTTGAATGATCTCTTCTGCATGTAATATTACATCATTATTTCTTTCCTTTCTTGTTTCCTTCCTTTCTCGTCTCCGTCCTTTCTTCCTTCTTTTCTTTCTTCCTTCCTTTCTTCTTTGGTTCCTTTTTCTTTCTTCCTTTCTTGTTTCCTTCCTTTCTTGTTTCCTTCCTTTCTTCCTTCCTTTCTTCCTTTCTTCCTTCCTTTCCGTCTTCCTTCCTGTCTTCTTTCCTTCCTGTCTTTCTTCTTTTCTTCCTTTCTTTCCTTTCTTTCCTTGCTTCCTTCCTTCCTTTCTTCCTTTCTTTCTTCCTTTCTTCTTTCTTCCTTTCTTCCTTCCTTTCTTCCTTCCTTTCTTCCTTTCTTCCTTCCTTCCTTTCTGTCTTCCTTCCTTCCTTCTTTCCTTCCTGTCTTTCTTCTTTTCTTCCTTTCTTTCCTTGCTTCCTTCCTTCCTTCCTTTCTTCCTTTCTTCCTTTCTTCCTTCCTTTCGTCCTTTATTTTTTTTTTGATGCATTTTTATTTTTTTTTTGATGCATTTTTATTTTTTTTTTGATGCATTTTTATTTTTTTTTGATGCCTACGCCGCAGGATACTGATCGTCAGCGTATATAATGTCCAAGTTCCCGGCATGGACTCCATCAATCACATACCACGCAACTGATTGCACACTCGCATGCGCATCGAGATGTTCAAAAAAAAAAATGTTTTATTCAAGCGTTAGTTTTGTTTAGTTGTTGATTTTTCGTCACTTGTATCCAATTTTGAAACCAAGAGGAATCCTTGATCTTGCACATCCAAAATGTGAGCTAGGACGCGTGCAAGGGCAAACGTGTGTTGAATATATGCATGCATTGGTCCGCCTGCGTGAACTTTTTTTGTTGACGTATTTGGGTCGGGAGTTTCCTGGGCCCAGAATCACCGGTCCCAATTTTTTTTTTCCGTTTTGTCCTTGTAAAATGCCATTGAGTCATGGCAACAGTTCCAACAGCCAACTGACAAAGCCTGACGGCTAGCTGGCACCCAGGCGTTGTATCTGGATAGCTGAGCTGATTTTGACGACCGCAACCAACCCCGTGTTTGATTGAAATCTCCCAAACACTACTTCACAGCCCGTGAATAATAATGAGGCGCCTTTTTAATTCCTTTTTTAGATGTTCATAACATGTATTTTAATCCAGGACACCTTCCGGCACTCTGTACCGGAGGGACTTCGAAAAATGCACGCAACTGCATGCAGTGACATTCGGTTCAGTGCATGCTATCCGTATACCATATTTGCATTTTTTAACCCACCTTGCCATTGCACTCTGTGACAGCACTCCCATACGGGGATATATTTCACTCCTCCAGCAATACAGTTGTTTATATTTCCAAGTGCGAACCTTCAATTCGAACTCCAAATTATGTTACAACTTTTGTGTTCAGCCCCACGGAATCGAAACAAAATGTTAGCTCACACGCTCACACATACGCACGTACGCACGCACGCTTGAACACTCTGGCGCTCACAGCTCCAAAACGATCGTCCGCACCCATGTTCATATTCACGTCGCGCAAGCTGTCTGGACAACCTTTGGAAAATTGCGTTTACGACAAAAGCGGTGTAATACTTTGATTTTTGATATTCATTGGTATAGCTAAGCATGCAAGAGCAGCCTGGGACTCAACGATCGCCTTCACGTCTACGTACGATTAGTGTCAAGCCCTTGGTGTGTGCGCTGCACCTTGGTGATTTACAGTTCGCATAAAACGATTCACCAATGTGATTGGGTTCATTTTTTCATTGCGAGCCAAAAAATGCTGAGCGGCAAGCGCGGTGAAGTGGTGAACTTGCCAACCTTGTAAATCGCTTTGTTCAATTACAGTATATGCACCAACTGTCGTGCCAGTTTCCACTGTTTGCCAGCCACGATTGTTTTTCCCCTGCTGATTCCTGCTAGCCGATCGTTTTTGGCCGCTGCGGAAACGAAATGGTTGTCGTTGTTTTCGCGTTTTTTTAATTAAATATTTTTCCATAGACGCCAACACACGCAGGGTCCCTCCCCACACAACAAAGCACTTGATCACATTGAATGCTGGCAGGATGCCCCTGTATTGACCGCGACAAATAACGCAAGCCAAGGGGTCAGAAACGAAAATTAATTAAAAGCGTTAGCACCGTGAAACGCACAAGTGGGGCAGGAACAGGAGGCTAAACAGGATCATGAAGAGTAATACTGTAATGCTGCCATTTCATGGTCAGGAATACATTGTTCTTGACGATGACATTTTTTACAAATATCATTTCTGTTCATTGAATGGGGGAAACCAAAACGGGAAACTAGAAAGGAATTGAATGTTTTCTCATCCGCTTCCCACACGCGGGGAGGACGCCAAAGGCCGGGAGAGGGAGAAAAGGAGGGGGCAAAAGAAAGGAAAGAGGGCAGGAGAGGGATAGAAGAGGGGGCAGGAGACGGGGGTTGTTTATTGTGAGTTTTCATGTGGTTGAAGGTCCCAGCCCCTGCCAATACCTTGTTAAAACAAAAAGCGACTTCAACTACCAGAAATACTCTTGGCCAAAGTCGCTGCGTACAGGTCCGGTTGATGCATTGTCTTAGTTCTCCGACATCGATTTGTTTTGTTACACGCATTGCATTGTTTTTTCACTCTCTGGGTTCCGCGTTTCCATATAAAACATTTGAAAAACATTTGAACATGTTACCACGGCACGTCGCGTGTAAGATTTACTCACATGCGAACGTACGATTGGCGTGCAGCAACGTTTGAATCCGTTGTAATAAACATTTATTTTTCTCAAACCACACTTTGAATGCCCATGTTGGATCATGGAGCATTACAAAAGGGGCTTAGCATTGTGGACTGCACACCAACACGTTTGCATAGGAAGGCGTTTGAATACGACGAACAGACAAAACAATGCTGCGTGAAACATGAATTTGAGGTGTATTGGGGACATGCAATGAGTAGAGCGCTGTCTGTGGCAGAGCAATGGCGTGGTGGTGGGTCCCGCGGCGAAATGTTTTTTGTTGTCAGCCCCGCACTTATGAACCCTCTTGAACAAGGTTTACTTTGGACCACTGTTTAACTGATAAACCGACTTCACACAGCAGCCTCATCACGGTATGAAGCAGCTCTGGAGCAGCCGGGGGGTGCAAACGCTGTCAAGCACATGCCACAGAGCGCAAAGTTTGCGAGGAAACGAACCATTTCCGACTTCGTCTTGAAAGGGACGGGTTGATGCCTAGCCTTTGTCGGTGGATAAGGCACCCATGTGTATGTGTGTATGTGTGTGTATGTGTGTGTGTATGTGTGTGTGTATGTGTGTGTGTGTATGTGTATGTGTGTGTTTGTGTGTGTGTGTATGTGTGTGTGTGTCTGTATGTGTGTGTGTATGTGTGTGTATGTGCGTGGGTGGTGTGTGTGTGAAACATTTCAATAGACGTAAACTTGCAGTTTCGGTTTCAGGGTGTTCCGTTGATTTCAATGACTTTGAATTACATGATTTGTGCAATGGCCTCATGATCAACAGAATACTTTCAAATTCAAATCAAAATTGCAGGGGGGCGCTGAAGGCCTATAGAACTGTGCCCAACGAAGCTCTCTATGGTGCCCTTAGGATATCCAAGCTGATAACCTAAACTTGCCTGCAACTTGCCGAGTTTCAACTTCAATTTGTCGCTGCCATTGTTCCATGTGCGTGTTTGCCGACCGGGTAGACCCAGAACCAGTTTGTCGATGTTTTCAATGTTTTTTCTGCATTGTTGTTGCGATGTGATACTTGACACGGAAGGGTCAGCTTCCAATTCTCCTTCAGCGTGATGGTTATTCTCAAACATCAAGGCGCTACTCAAAAGCGCCCCTTTTCTGCCATGCTCGTTGAGCCACTTGCATCGGGAGATCACTTCACGATTTGTGCATGTCATCCAGACAACTGAATTACTGGCCATGCTAATCTTCTCTGTATCGTTTCAAGTGCCAACTGGAGACCTGATTACCTGCAAGCCTACACATGAGTGCATTGACTGAATTCTGACACCCCACCTTGGTAAGAAATTTTAAATTGCTTACCATCTATTGCCATGAAATGTCAGTTCGAATTCCATTGACCTGGTACATCGGCCATCTGTGCTGCATGCATTGCTTTACACGGTCTCTTACAGCTATAGGCACCTTGAAAAAATGTTTTTCCGCTCTCACAAGCTTGGGCTCTTCCATCTGGAGGAATGTCGCCATGATTTCTGTGACTCATGCGATCATTGCATCCTATGCGATATCCATCAAGGCTTCCACCTCTTCAATCGCTCGACTGTAGTTCGCTGCCTCTTCCCAGTTTCCATGGGTAGCCGAAAGCTATCACCAGCTCAACTTCACCCTCCAATTTGCTCTCACCAGTGACCCCAACGGCCAACAAGCCACGCTTTTCAGCATTGAAGCTCCGAATCTCCCATGTCTTCCTCCTTTCCGAAGCAGGATCGAAGATCTTGTTGACCCATTGCCGCTGGATCAATATGGCTTGCTTAGGCTTGGGCCCCGTCATGGCTCGCAGAATTTGGGCCAACGAGCTTGAGAGACAACTGCAATGCCAAAGTTCGAAATTCACAACCCACCACGAAATTCATAAAACCAAAGCTCGACAACATGCAGCAAACACCTGTAACAAACCGCAACTAGTTTCTTTATTATTTTTTTTGTTGACTTTCTTATTCTTTTAAGTTTTTACAATTTCGTTGTGAAATCCAACACACCTCGGATGCCTCAACTTAGCCATTGCCCTCTGCAGCCCGGCAATGATACCGGGCCGTGGCGGGCATGGCCGACAAACGCAAGAAGAAGCAGCCCATTTTTTCCAACAACGCCGCAAGACGCCATCGTAGACAGCAGAGGGAAGCTTGCCCGTGGATGGAATATCTTCCCATGGATCCTCCGCAATTCCTGCAAGAGGTTCACACTGTACAGCGCCCTCGGCAAGACCCTCTGCAATACGTTCAAAGACATCCCGTCCCCAAACGCCTTCCCTAGCTCACTCACGGAATCATTCGCGTCCAGCATGACATCCACCCACTCTCTTTTCCACCCTTGTAGTCCTGCGACTTCATAAATGTTGACATGCCGGCCAGCCTGCAGAAGGTAGTGGCCCAACTGGCCTCCTCGCGCTTTTGTGACACAAGGACACACACCCTGCATCACTTGGAAGAACTTCGGCCCAGCTGCTGCATCAACAACAATTTCATCCTCAGCGTCGTCCATGTCCACACCCTCCTTGTCCAGCTTACGCCTCCTTGATGTCAAAATGCAATTAAATTTAACACTCAAAACACAGCAGAAAACAGAAAAACAAAAACAGACAAACATAGAAAAACATGTTCTCCACCCACAACACATATATATATATATAATTGTTCAACGGCAAGTGTCGCACGTGCGACATTGGAAAGCACACTCTTGGACAGCTTTGTCTTTTTTTCAACCTTCCCAGCATTCATCAGAAACCTCTTCAGTCGTGGTTGAGGAACCGGCTCAGGAAAGCTGAAAGGGCGGTCAGGCCGCAAGTGCTTCTTCAGCGACGCAATCAAGTAGACTCTCGGACGGCTTTGTGGAATGCCATGCTCCTTGGTATCCATCACTGCACAATAGCACTTGTATCCTGCCAACTTCAAGATTCGCTGGATACGTTTCAATATCCATTTGTTTTTCACGTTTGCCAAGCCCTTGACGTTCTCCAAACCCAAGACCAGTGGCTTCCTCATGACTGCGTACTTGACTGAGCTTAGCAACAGCCATCCCCGGGCATCTGCCATTGCCTTGCCCTTCCCTGCAGAGCTGAAGGGAGGGCAAGGCGCCCCTGATATCATCACATCGACATCAGGGGCACGGTCTCGGTTCATCACGTCTGCGTAGATCACATCTGGGGTGGAATTTCCCAAATGCGATTCAATGGCCTGCAGCCACTGCAGTTTCGTCGCGTTCATCTCTGCCACGAACTTGCTCACTACCTTCAGTTCGTCTCCAAGGGATACCTTGAGGCTGACAAAGTCAGAGCCAATTCCTGCGCAGTCAGACCCAAGTCTGATAAGGCCACGTGGTTTTTAAGTTGCCTGACATCCCATCCTCTTTTTTGCAGCCACTTGTTCTATCTCTTTGGAGAGCTCCTCAGCCAACTCCTTTTGTTTGCTCTCCTTTTTCGTTGTCTGCCTTGTTTCTTTTTTCTTCGTCTCTGCCTTGATCATGGGTTTCTTCGTCTTTGCCGCCTTGATCACTGTTTTCTTCCTCTTTGCGTTGGCCGCCGGCTTCTTCGAAGTCATCTTCGTGGCCAATTTCCCCACCAGTTTCTTCGAGTCTTTGTTCATCACTTGCTTCTTGGACTTGTTTTTTGAGGCGGAACCACCATCATCGGCAAGGGTGAAATCTAGATCTTCCATGGGCCCAAGTTTGAACTTGATATGGCTGGCTGACAAACAAACTGAAGCTTCAGGCTGTGCACACGTAAGCTGAACATGTTCGTCAAACTGAAATCAAAGAGGCATCAACTACGATTTCATACATCGTCATCATCATCGTCATCATGTTCTTTATGTTTATCGAATCATCATCATCATCATCATCGTCGTCGTCGTCGTCGTCGTCGTCATCATCATCCATCATCATTCCCGCAATGACTCTATATTTATTTATTTATTTATTTATTTATTTATTTATTTATTTATTTATTTATTTACATATATATCACTATCATGTTCTCCATTTCATCATCATTTGCATCTTCATATTGATCAACTTAATCATTTTCATCATCATCATCATTATCATCATCATCTTAACATATGATAATCTTATCACCTTTTCATTTTATCAAAATCATCTTCTTCATCTTCGTCATCATCATTGCCGTCATCGTCATCATCATCACCACCATCATCATCATCAACAACATCAACGTTATCATCATTCATGATCATATCATATAATCTCATCATGTGAACATCTTTTCTTATTATTATCATCTCATCCTTATCCCCGTCGTCATCACCATCATCATCATCCACATCATCATCATCATCATCCACATCATCATCATCGTCAACAACATCATCAACAACGTCATCACCAGTGAGTGGCGCAAGTATGCCATTTTTGTCCTCTTGGCTTAACTCATTCGAAGACGGTCACTTGTGTGACGTCCAGGGCAGCTTCATCATCATGAGTCCTGCTTCATCATCATGAGTCCTGCGCAATTTGGGAGATATGTAAGCCTCACAACTTAATACTTGACATCCACAAACTGAGACTGACTGAGAGAGGCGTTTTCAGTTTTCCTGTCATCGCCATCGCAGCAACAACGCAATAATCCCGGCTGTCACACTGTTGGTGTAAGATTGCCAAGTTGAATCCAGGTAGGAACACTGAAGCAACAAACTTCCTGAGGCGAACAACAATATCACGCCATCCGAGGTGGAATCAATAATGCAAATTGAACCACCTGGACAGACCCAGTCCATTGTCACGATCCCTACTACAGTGAAAATCAAAATCACCCAATGATGCTTAAAGATTTGCGGAGTCATCCCCAAAGTCCCCCCATTTACTTCAGGAATCCTGCTCAGACGACGACCGCGCAACCGTCTTGACCTTTTTCTTCTTGGGGGCGCCTCAGACTCATCAGCATTGTCCTCAATCTTGGCGGGCTTCTTCGGCTTCTTTTTGGCTTGATTGTAGTCTTGGGCAAGCAACAAAGGCACAATGCGGAAACCAAACCTTCCCCTCCAGCTAGGAGCCTCGAGATCACAGAGTGCAAACATTCTCACAGATACTTGACACCATCCAAAAGCCAGCAATGACACTGCCATGTGGCAAATGTTGAAATCGGACATAGTGAAACGTGGTGTGAAAACGGATCTGAGGTGAAACGACAGAAACATACCGGCGCTCAGAATGTTGGAACCGAGCCTCAGAGCGACATCGGCCACAACAGAGGAAAACCAAAAAGTTCGTGCCCGGTACAGCCCTGTCATTAGTTATCAACCTTGCAATGCCCTCACAGAAAACCAGCAAAAAGCCAGACAACACCACAAGCAACAAGAAGCAACACAAAAACAAAACAAACCAAGTCGCATCTAGTAAGTAGACGTTGAAAAGTGAAAGGTGGTGTGAAAGCGGAGCTAAGATGAAACGACAAAGAAACTAACGGCGCTCAGGGGTCACTCAGAGTCCTCTCAGGTGTGCTTTGTCTATTCATCAGCCTTGAGTGGGTTCTTGTGCTCTTGCAGAACATCTTCGTGAGTGAGTTCTGAAGACGTGCTAGATCCTTTTTCGGTGCGGGACAGTAGCAAGAAAGCTTTCTGTGCTTGACTGACTTCACAGCTCGCTGTGATCGTGCAACTATCCAAAATGCAACTAAGTTGATGTAGTTGCCGCGTTGCATTGTCAAGGTCAGTGATCCGCTGGGGCGGAACTTCAGGGATGCCCCGGAGTTTCTGGCACGCTTCCTCTAAAAAGTTTGGTGGCAGTCGCAATTTCTTCACCTGTAACGTGGCACAATGTCAGCTGGGCAATTGATTTGGCCATGCGGTTCAGCGCAGCTTGTTCCATCTCGGATATGACGATAGGGGTAGAATGTGTCAATTGGACATTTTTTTTTCCGTCCAACGCCTTCATGGCTTCCGCCAGGTCGTTACACACGTTCAATCGCAGCAAAAAGATGAATTGTAATTATCATGCAAGGCTGTCTACTTGTCGAAGCCACAAAAGTACTGGTAGTGGACCTGTACGCAGTCCAGCGAGCTGTCCCAGCAAGAAATCAACCAAACACAAAACACAACCAGAAACAAAGGAAACCAAACAAACAACCAAAAAAACACAACCACAACCAAACCAAAACAAACAAAACACAGAGAAGTGGGATCGCTACCCGCATTGGGAATTCATGCATGATGACACTTTGTGTGTCATTATGAGAATGGTCCCTAACAAAAAGCAAAACAAAGAAACCACAGAAAAACATAAGGGGCCAGGTCAGAGGGTGTAAAAAGCAACAAAGCTCCATGCGGAAACCAGGGATCCCCCCGGCCAGGATCCCCGAGATCACAGAGAGCAGCCGTTCAGGCATGACATTCACCCTGGCACCGACAACGCCGGGTCGCAACGAGAGTGGTGAGAAACAAAAAACCGGTGAAACAGGAAGGTGAGACATGATCTATTGTGAAAATGACAGCACTAGCTGCGGCACTCAGGGCGCACTCAGAGTCCGCTCAGTAGTTCTTTACCTAGCATCAGCATCATGGGAGCTGTAGCGCACTCTTGCGGTGGGGCAGTCGTGGAGCACCCTTCGGCGAAGGTACCTTAAGCCCCCTTCGAAGGTACCTTAAGCCTTTGCCGAAGGGGGGACGGGGGGGAGGGGGGGGGTGAACGAGGAACCGAAGCCCCCTTAAGGTACCTTAAGGGGGCTTCGAAGGCTTCGAAGGTATCTTAAGGGGGCTTCGAAGCCTTCGAAGGTACATTAAGGGGGCTTCGACGAAGGTACCTTAAGGGGTCTTCGCCGAAGACTTCGAAGGTATCTTAAGCGGGCTTGGACGAATTCTTCGAAGCCCCCTTAAGGTGCCTTCGAAGCCTTCGAAGCTCCCTTAAGGTACCTTAAGGTGGCTTCGAGCGTTGAAGCCTTGGCTGAAGCCTTTGAAGGTACCTTAAGGGAGCTTCGAAGGCTTCGAAGGCTTCGAAGGCACCTTAAGGGGGCTTCGAAGCCTTCCTCAACGGACCTTCAAATTCAATTTCTCAAGCTCCCCACTTAAGGTACCTTCCTGAAGGGCCTCTCACCGACTGCCTGGGGGCAGTCGTGTGGAAGGCAAGAGAATTAGATTTCAGATCATGGTATTGTGGAAGGCAAGGGGGGAAGTTTCAATAAAAGTTAGAATTTAGATCATGGCATTGTCGAAGGCAAGGAGGGGGAAGTTTAAATAAAGAGTTAGATTTTAGATCATGGCATTGTGGAAGACAGGGGGATGAAATTGAAACAAAAAGTTGGAATTTAGATCATGGCATTGTGGAAGGCAAGCGGGGGGAAGTTTTAAGTTAGATTTTAGACCATGGCATGGTGGAAGGCAAGGGGGAAATTTAAATAAAGAGTTGGAATTTAGATCAGGCATTGTGGAAGGCAAGGGGGGAGCTGAAGAGTTCGATTTTAGATCATGCCATTGTGGAAGGCAAGAGTGGAACTATAAATAAAGAGTTAGATTTTAGATCATGGCATTGTGGAGGGCAAGGGAGGGGGAAGTTCATAAAAAGTCAGATTTTAGATCAAAGTTTTAAAAACAAGAGTTGGATTTTAGACCATGGCATTGTGGAAGGCAAGAGGGCGAAGTGTAAATAAAGAGTTGGAATTTAGATCATGGCATTGTGGAAGGCAAGCGGGAGGAAGTTTAAATAAAGAGTTAGATTTTACATCATGGCATTGTGGAAGGCAGGGGGGGAAGTTCAAATAAAGAGTTGGAATTTAGATCATGGCATTGTGGAAGGCAAGGGGGGGAAGTTGAAATAAAGAGTTAGAATTTAGATCATGGCATTGTGGAAGGCAAGGAGGGAAGTTTAAATAAAGAGTTAGATTTTAGATCATGGCATTGTGGAAGGCAGGGGGATGAAATTGAAACAAAGAGTTGGAATTTAGATCATGGCATTGTGGAAGGCAAGCGGGGGGAAGTTTAAGTTAGATTTTAGACCATGGCATGGTGGAAGGCAGGAGGGAAATTTTGAAGAGTTCGATTTTAGATCATGCCATTGTGGAAGGCAAGAGTGGAACTATAAATAAACAGTAGATTTTCAGATCATGGCATTGTGGAAGGCAAGGGAGGGGGAAGTTCATAAAAAGTCAGATTTTAGATTCAAGTTTTAAACAAGAGCTGGATTTTAGACCTTGGCATTGTGGAAGGCAAGCGGAGGGAAGTTTAATTAAAGTGTTTGACTTTGGATCATGGCATTGTGGAAGGCAGGGGAGGAAGTGTAAATAAAGAGTTGGAATTTAGATCATGGCATTGTGGAAGGCAAGGGGAGAAGTTTAAATAAAGAGTTCGATTTTAGATCATGGCATTGTGGAAGGCAAGGGGCGGAAATTTCAATAAAGAGTTAGAATTTAGATCATGGCACTGTGGAAGACAAGAAGGGGGTGGAAGTTTAAATAAAGAGTTAGATTTTAGATCATGGCATTGTGGAAGGCAAGCGAATTAGATTTTAGATCATGCCTTCGACGAACGTACCTTAAGGCGGCTTCGAAGCCTTCGAAGGTACCTTAAGGGGTCTTCGCCGAAGTCTTCGCCGAAGACTTCGAAGGTACCTCAAGCCTTTGCCGAAGGGGGGACGGAGGGGGGTGAACGAGGAACTGAAGCCCCTAAGCTACCTTAAGGGGGCCTTAAGGTACCTTAAGGGGGCTTCGAAG